TATCAACAAAAAAATATAAAATAAAAATAAAGAATATATTCTAAACAAAGATTATGAACTAATTAAAAAAAGAAATAAAACGATCTACTAAAATATGTAATATTTCCAATATTAACAAAAATATTTAAAAAGAAAATAAGGAATATATTCTAAGTAAGGATTATGGACTAATTAAAAACAAGGAAAAAACTGTTATACTAAAATATGCAATATTTCTAAATTTTTTATATTACAAAATACATTTTTTCCATTATAAATAATCTAAATAGTTAAAGACAAATGGAAATGTCATATTTATATGTGATGATTTGCTAATATAATAACGTGTATGAGATAATTATAGTATGAGATAAATATAATAAATTGACTATTTAGTAAAATATAATAATAAAATAAATATTAAATATCTGTGAGTCGTAATTTATAATCTAATTAAATTTATCAAATTATAGGCGTTATAATTTTAAAATCAAATATATTTACCGTAATGCATTTTTATATCAGCATGACAAACACGTAAAAAAAAAGTATAACTCACGTGATCGCGACATGTATCTAATATAGATTAAATAAAGAATGTATTAAAACTTAAAATTAATTAATAAAAATAAAATTTTAAAATGGAATGTAATTGTCAAGTTACTAATCAAATGATAAAAAAGAAATTTTCTTATACTATCAATAATAATTAAGAAACAAAGTTTAAGATAAAATATAGACATAACATAAAACATAAAATAAAAAAATAATACATATAGAAAAAAATCTCAATTAAAATAAAGAGAAAGACGAACGATAAAAAAGGTATATAAATTGAAAAAACAAATGTTAGAAAGGTTATAGAAACCTCAATTTAAAAGTTTAAAAATACACACAACCATGCAAAAATAAAATAAAAATAAAATCTATAAGAATACTTATTTTATCAATATAGAGTTACAGAATATCACAAAAAATAGAAATTTTCAACCTATGACGTCATTGATACTTTTCAAGTGTATATATTGAAAATGAATATAAGTTAAAAAATAATAATATTATATTTANTATTAAGTTAATACTGTATAAAATTTGTCGAGTATAAATCTCTATGAAAAATAAAATGATGACACTAATAAAATATAATTATCAATCATGTACTTATGTGATGGTTCACAAGTCACAACATTATTTATAATTTTTATAAGGTTACTAACATAAA